AATGTTCCATGTGCACTTGAGAAGAATGTATATTCTGTGGCTTTGGGGTGGAATGTTCTGAAGATGTTGATTAATTCCATCTGGTCTAGCGAGTCATTTAGGATTGATATTTCTTTGCTGATTTTTTCTTTAGATGATTTGTTGAAGGGTGACAGTGGGGTGTTAAAATGTCTTACTATGATTGTATTGCTATTAATCTCTGCCTTAATGTCCTCCAGCAGTTTTTTTTATGTATTTGGGTGCTCCTGTATTGGGTGCATATATATTTACCAGGGTTATTTCTTCTTGTTGGATTGCTCCCTTTAGTATTATGAAGTGGCCTTCATTATCTCTTGTTATGTCCTTCACTCTGAGATCTAATTTGTCAGATATAAGTATTGCTACCCCAGGTGTTTTTTTTTTCATTTCCATTCGCCTGGAAAACCTTTTTCCATCCTTTCACCCTCAGTCTGTGTGCATCTTTTTTTCTGAAGTGGGTTTCTTGTAGACAACAGATATATGGGTCTTGTTTTCTTATCCAATCCGTTACCCTATGTCTTTTGATTGGAGCATTTAGTCCATTTACATTTAAAGTTATTATTGATATGTACTTATTTGACTTCATTTTTATTCTATACCTCTGTGTTCCTTCTTTTCTTTCTATTTCTTTAATTTTACAATAGACCCTTTAGCATTTCTTGCATTGCTGGTTTGTTTTTGTCTGTGAATCTCCTGATTTTACCTTCAATTTTGATTGATAGCCTTGCTGGGTACAGTATTCTTGGATTCAGACCCTTCCTTTGCATGACTTTGTATATTTTATCCCATTCTTTTCTGGCCTGATAAGTTTCTGTGGAGAAATCAGCTGCTAGTTTGATGGGGGTTCCTTTATATGTAACTTTCTGTCTCTTTCTGGCTGCTTTTAAAATACTTTTTTTGTTGTTGGTGTTTGCCAGTTTAATTATAATGTGCCTTGGGGTCGGTCTTCTGGGGCTCATTTTACTTGGGACTCTGCGAGCATCTTGGATTTGTGTGGCTTTTTTTCTTCTCTATCTCAGGAAAGTTTTCTGTCATTATTTCTTGAAATATGTTTTCCAGGTCTTGTTCAGTTTCCTTTCCATCTGGAACCCCTATTATTCTAATATTGTTTTGTTTTGTATTGTCCCAAAGTTCCCTTAGACTTTCCTCTTGCTTTTTAATTTTTTCTTCCAGAAGCTGCTCTAATTGGGTATTTTTTTCCATCTTGTCTTCTAGCTCACTGATGCGGTCCTCTGCTTCTTCTAGTCTCCTCTTTTTTTTTTTTTTTTAAATATATTTTATTGATTTTATACAGAGAGGAAGGGAGAGAGATATAGAGTTAGAAACATCAATGAGAGAGTCATCGATCAGCTACCTCTTGCGCACCCCCTACTGTGGTTATGCCCACAACCAAGGTACATGCCCTTGACCGGAATCGAACCCGGGACCTTTCAGTTCCCAAGCCAATGCTATATCCATTGAGCCAAACCGGTTTCGGCTCTAGTCTAATCTAGATGCTTTCTATTGAGTTCTTTACGGTAGCGATGTCAGTTTTCATTTCTTCTTGGTTCTTCTTCATTTTCTCTTGGTTCTTACTCATATTGTCAAATTTGTCTTTCATTCTTTTTAGCCATCTTATGATCATTACTCTGAATTCTTGCTCTGGTAGGTTGCTTGCCTCTATCTCATTTACTTCCTTTTCTGGTGAAGCCTGCTTTTCTTTCAGATGCGGGCTGTTTCATTGTCTCTCCATGATCTCTCTTTTTAGGATATCGGTTGTGTTGTTCTCTCTCTCCTGCTTTGATTTAAAGGCACAAAATACAACACAACCAGGTACACACAGGGCACTGAATAGAAATGTGTTTGCGATATTAATAACCACCAATAAAGGTGACTAGAACACAGCTAACAAAAACATACAATCAAACAAAAAGAATAGGCAAATCAATCTTATAAAAAAAGCATACAACTTCAGTATAATTAACATTCAACATACAACTTCAAAGAGATAAAGAGAGACTTTTTTTTTTTTTTTTTTTTTTTTTTTTTTTTTTTTTTTTTTTTAGGACAGCGGCGAGGGAGTTGTGAATGGGCTTGGAGCAGGGGGTTGGAAATTAGATATATACAAGTAGGGTGAAATTTTAGAGGGGGTAGACAGAAAGAATGGGGAAAATCTAGAGCAGGAAAGGGTTAAGTTAAATGGGGTACCAAAGGAAAAGGTCGGAAAGAGAGTGAAGGCATAAAGGTAGGGTTGAGATAGAATAAAGTGTTGGAGAAGGAAAGATAGATAAAGACTGTAGAACAGTAATCCTGAAAAATAAAATAAAATAAAAATAATAAAAAGAAACAAAAGAAAATAAGATAAATAGGTAAAATGGTAGTAGTAATAATGTTGATTACGTATACAATGTAATAATTATAAGGATAAAATCAAGTGAGGAAAAAGAAGAAAAAATAGTTTCTTGAGTAAACGTTGCAAATAATGAAAACAAAAATAAAAAACAAAAATTTTAAAATTTTAAAAATTTTAAATAAAATTTGCAGTAATGAAGATCATTCGCTTCCTCTATTGATCCAGTCCTGATTTTTAGGCAGGTTTTGCTTTGTTTTTATTACACTAGAGTCAATTTGTGAATTAGCCTCTGGGTGGCAGTGTTTCTAGGTTGACTTCCCAGGCTCTAAAGCCTCTCCAGCTTTTTTTTCCCTCTCTCTCTGGAGCAGGATCTATGGAGGCGGGGAGGGGGCAAGTTCGAGCCAACTGCAATCTCCCGCAACTCTTCGATATCCCTCCGAGCCAGATCCAAATGTGTTGCTCTTTAGATATCTCCCCTGTTAGGAGCCCCGTCCACTTTCACGGGTGACACCCGCCCAACAGCCAGGGCTTCTACTTGTAATCACCGCCTGTCCCCCAGTTTCCTCGTGCCCGCCGCGAGTGCTCACTCACCCTCTCGCGGCAAAATCTGACCTTTTTGCCGTGTGGTGGGGCACTCCTGTGAGCCCAAGTGTTCGCACTGCCTGGGATCAGCGTTCTGGGGGCGGTCACAGCTGCTTGGTGGTCTCTGACATGATCCATCTTCTTCTCAAGATGGCGAGATTTCCCCGTCCAAACCGGTAGGTAGCTCCAGGAAGGGACGTAGCCAGCATGGGTGCTTCCCTGTGAGGGGTACCTCTGTCAGCAGCCCCACAGCAGTTTCTTCTGGTGTTCGCTGTCTCCCAGCTTGCTGATAAACACTCACAGCTCAAGATCGTCAGCTGCTCTCTCTTTCTGCTTCAGGACAGGGCTCAGAATCTGCCCATCTATTCTTCCACCATTTTGTCTCCCTCAATTGTTCTATTTTTAATTATTTGAAAATATCGTATTAAAATATTCTGCCCATATTTAAAGATAATATGACAAATTTATCATCAAATATCTTTTTTAAAAAAATGTTTACTGCACGTTTTTCTTTGTGTTTATATTTTTCCTCCACAAAATGGGATTATAAGCTGCTTTATTTTTTTTGAGAGAGAGAGAGGAAGGGAGAGGGGGAAAGCATCAGTCACCTCCCGTATGCACCACAACCTAAGCATGTGCTCTATCCAGGAATAGAATCTGCGACCCTTCAGTCCACAAGACGATGTTCCAACAAACTGAGCCACATCGTCCAGGGCATAACTTGTTTTTGTTTAAACTCAATATATATTTTTTTATGTCCAAAAATAGCATATTATTACCTCTAATGACTTAGTATAGTCCAAATTTGCTGTTGAATATTTGGATTATATTTTCCGTAGTTTCAGCATTATAACAAATGCTACTATAAATAACCTTATAAATGCATTTTCATTTACTTGATTTTTTTCCCTAAGGATAAGCCTAGAAGTGAACTTGCTAGAGCAAAGAATGTGTACTTTTAAAAATGGCTTTTGATATGTTATTGCCAAAATGCCCTCCATGGAACATATGCAAATCCATATTCCCACCAGCAGTTTATGAAGTGGCCCCATTCCCAAAATTGGTAACAAGTATTTTCATTTTTGTCCATTTATTAGGCAAAAAAATAGATTGGTAAAATTGGAAGACCAAAAAAAAAGATAAACAAAAGAGGGGGGAGGAGAAAACTGGAAGAGACCTTAGAGGTCCAGCCCATTCTGATTAACATATTATTAGTTTTTAAAAATTAAATTTATTGGGGTAACATTGGTTAATAAGTTTTAAATATACAATTCTATAAAACATCATCTGTACATTGCATTGTGTGCTGACCACCCAAAGTTTAATCTCCTTTGGTCACCATATATTTGACCCCCTTTGCCCGCTTTAACTTGCCTTCCCCCTGGTTGTCCGTGTCAGTGAGTATTTTCGTTTGCATGTTGTCCGTGTCAGTGAATTTTTTCGTTTGCATGTTTGTTCATTTGTTGCATTTTGTTTTATATCCCACATATAATTGAAAGCATATGGTTTTTGTCTTTTTCTGTCTGACTTATTTTGCTTAGCATGATACTCAGGATCCATCCATGTTGTTGCAAATGTGCAATTTTTTAGTATGGGACAGAAAAAAAATGCTCTTTTTTTCATTCTATTCTAAAACAATCATATATGTCTTACATAATCATCTGTAACAGTGAGTTCTCTGGCCCTGGTGAAATTATTCAGATTACTTTTAAGAAGTGTTGAAAATCTTATAATTTTCTATGAAAATCATTCTGAACTAGAGTGTGATTAAAACGGAAATGGCCATTGCAAACATCAACTTTGGAGAAGCATCTTATATTTACCTGTAACAGATTATTGCTTTCACAGTGATTCTGGTGGTGAGGCTTATAAAGTGTACCAGTTTTGCCATGCTTCTGTCCTGTGATTCATTTCACTGAACACTTCTGTGTTATGTGTAATCCTTATCATTTCCTAATAAACACAGTCTCTCTCTTCTCTTTTCTGGTTCTTATACGGTTTGATAGTACATTTCTGTCTTGTCGGATTTCTAACTGGAATTTCATTTCCTCTCCTCATTCACCCATAGGCATCCACAGCCTTGTAGTACAGTCTATAGACATGCCCTTGCTTAGCCATAGCAATGATGAATTGAAGAATACCATGGTACTTTGCAAATCAACAGTGGCAGTACCTCTTCAAGAGAAAGCAGAAACACCCCTCAAGGTGAGCCTGGAAGCACCCGCTGAGTTGAGTGTGGAAGCAGCACCCAAGGGGAGTATGAATGCAGCCCCAGAGGTGAGTGTGGAAGTACACCCTGAGGCGAGTGTGGAAGCACCATTCAAGGTGAGCATGGAAGCAGCTCCTGAAGTGATCATGGGAGCATTCCCTGAGATGAGTGTGGAGCCACTTCTTGAGAGCTTGGAGGCATCACCTGAGGGAAGCGAGGACATGTCCCTCATGAGTGTGGATCCATCTCCTGAGGTGAGCATGGACTCGTCCTCTGAAGCGAGCTTGGACTCATACCCAGAAGTGAGCATGGAAACAACATCCGAGGCTCGCCTGGACGTGTTCCACAAGGGGAACATGGAAATGATTCCCGAGGAAAGCTTAGAAACAGTCCTTGAAGAGAACATGGAAGTGCCCCTTAAGGCCAGTGTGAAATCATCCTCCGAGTCCAAGTCATGCCCTGAGGTGAACTTGAGAGACACTCCCCAGGTTTGTCAAGTACCTTTACTGACTAATCTATTAAAAATTTGGGTTTTTTAAAAATATATATTTTATTGATTTTTTACAGAGAGGAAGGGAGAGGAATAGAGAACTAGAAACACTGACCAGCTGCCTCCTGCACACCCCCCCACCAGGGATGTGCATGCCCTTGATCAGAATCGAACCTGGGACCCTTCAGTCTGCAGACCAATGCTCTATCCATTCAGCCAAACCGGTTTTGGCAAGAACCTGTTTTTTTTTAATTATATAGATGATTTGATAGGTCAGGTTTCCCAATAAAAACAACTTATTTATAACATTGAGCAATAAAATTAATAAAATAGGGTAAATTTGTTTAATGATTTAAAATTAACTAGTATTTAGAAATAGAATTGGGTTTTGAAGTACAATATTTCTTTTAAATTATTTATTTCTATGTCTTTCTTGAATTGTGTGTAATATTGTTATTCTGGAAGAACTTATCTCTATAACTAGTTCTTACGCATGTAAGGAAAATTGGGCATTTATGGAGCTATCACTGTGTATTATTCAGAATATTTTTCTCTTAAAAAGAAAAACCAGCTGAAGAAAGTTATTGCTAATAATTTCTTATCTGATTGTATTGATCTGTTCAGAAATCAAACCTTGTAAATAAGAAGCGCACATCGACACATTCACCATTGTCTAAATGGCCATCTTCTACAAACGTGTGGGATTCACCCTCTCCCATAAGTGCTAAGTAAGTAGCTATCCGAAACTGTTCCTGATATGTGTTTTACCAAAATAAATTTTACATTAGTGTTTCATAATTGAAATAATGTATACACGGTAATGTAAAATTTTAGAAAAACCTTTAATAGACAAAGGGCTTACCTTCATCTATTATAAAATATCATGATCTCATAATATATTTTATGAAATCGTACACTAATAATTTATAGCAGATGTTAATTACAAAATCATATCAGACTTCCCCCATTAACTGTTGCTTTTTCTCAGTAGGCAAATACAAAAGAATTGCCTGCCGTCCATTTCACCATTTGTGTCAAAACAATCAGCACAGTCTTCTGTTTCCTCTAAAATAATTCCTGCTCAACATACCCCACGTACACAAAATATAGCAGGTAATATAAGAAGGAAAAAGAAAAAGGCTTCTAAAAAAAACACTAAAAGCTCTGAGGCTGTGACCCAAAAGCATATGACTTATGACGGTAAGTTCCTTCACTGAGTTTAAATTTTGGCAATAAAGTTTGGGAATGGTCAGCTCTATTTTATTTCCCAATTCAGAGAACTTTAAGGAGCGAGCTTTCTTTTAGTTAAAGAGAATTTTGCCAATCACTTCTCCTTACTTTTCCTTGTGAGAGCTACTTTACCCACCCTTTAATTGTTTTTGGAAAATCCATTTTTAGAACTGGTGTTAGAAGTACTTCTTGGATGAGTGTATTGGTCTAGGTCCGTGGTCGGCAAATTGTGGATTGCGAGCCACATGCGGCTCTTTGGCCCCTTGAGTATGGCTCTTCCACAAAATACCACGGCCTCGGAGAATCTATTTTGAAGAAGTGGCATTAGAAGAAGTTTAAGTTTAAAAAAATTGGCTCTCAAAAGAAATTTCAATCATTGCACTGTTGATATATGGCTCTGTTGACTAATGAGTTTGCTGATCACTGGTATAGGTAATACCTGCAGTCTCTTCCAGCCCTGGTAGTGGATGGTTCTATGAATGGCTGAATGAGTTTCTGTTAGAAGCTGTAGGTCAGTTACTGTGCATAGACTACAAGGAATCTGGCATGTAGTTGGGTTCCTGAAAGTACCAAATTGGTATTCTTACCTGTCACGTGTTCTTAATATTCGAGGATATTGTTTACTTTTAAATAGACTGGGGAATTTTGCTTTATGAAGGAATTCCACAGTGAATTATTTATAATAGGAGTAATCTTTTTATTATAAATTATTTGTTCTAGATGTCTTATGACCTTCATTTTCATATGTTGCTTATTTAAAATAAAGAAATTAGTCACATGGACTAAAATATTATCATAAGCCTTCATGCAATCACCTTATGTTACTGATAGTCTTGGTTTCTTTGGTTATCTTTAGTTAACCAGTTTATGATCAACCAACCAACTATTGTAACACACTAGTATCAATAGTTAGCTACACAGTAATTATTTAGTGAAAATGATGTACAAATTTTATTATTTTTTATTTTTAATATATTTTTTATTGATTTTTTTACAGAGAGGAAGAGAGAGAGATAGAGAGCTAGAAACATTGATGAGAGAGAAACATCGATTAGCTGCCTCTTGCACACCCCCTACCAGGGATGTGCCTGCAACCAAGGCACATGCCCTTGACTGGAATCGAATAAAACAGCTAAACCAAAGTAGGAGGGAGCAGCTTATTATTTCGTTTTGGAACAAGTACTTGTTAAAAAGAAACAAAAAGGCTACCTCTGTTATTGGGGAGTTGAGATGTTGAACAAAATCTGTTCTATAGTCACTTATAGATTGCTTTTTATATATTTTAGACCATATACATATTGTTCGTTTTTTATACTATTGGTTATCTTGCATTTCTGTATTGGAATGAGAGGCAGTAAGTTTCCTAAACTAACTGTTTCACATATTAATCTAACGTAGAATCTGGTAATAAAAGCACACAAGGGATTATGAATGCTGAGGAGGCAACAAAAATTTTGACAGCGAAACGACGCCTTGCTCGTGAACACAAAGAAAAAGAAGAAAAACTACAAAAAGAAATGGACCAAAGGTAAGTACAATATCATCCTTTCTATGCTATACATCTTGCCTGGGCCTAAAGTTTGAAAGTCAAAACTTATTGTTAAATGTATTATAAATTCTCAAAGAGTGATTGACTTTTTCTTCAACATGAATCAGAAATGAGTGTGGGAAAATGTCAAGCAGAGAGAGGACACTGGTGTGTAGGTGAATAGTATAGGCCTCTTTTGCTTTCATGCATCATGAACCTTGAAGGTGTGCTATGGAGATGCATAAAGAGACCAAATCTCATCCGGCCAGCGTGGCTCAGTTGCTGAGCAGTGACCTATGAACCTGGTGGTCACAGTTCAATTCCTGGCACATGCCCAGGTTGCTGGGACTGCCCCAATGTGGGACGTGCAGGAGGCAGCTGATCAAGGATTCTCTCTCATCATTGGTGTTTCTATCTTTCACTCCCTCTCCCTTCTCTGTAAAATCAATAAAATACATTAAAAACAGAGAATAAAAGTTGTGTGAAGATCCCAGATTTCAGCAGTTTATGTTGGCATTCACTGATGTCAGCCCCTATCTTTTTCAAAGGTCTTAAAACTATAGAATTTATAAACCTATAAAATATACTTTTTTGTGTTTTAGTAAGGGTGCTTTCCAGTGACTTTTGGGACACCTGCATTTTATTATTGCTGAAAAAATTTCCTGTGGTCAGTAGATTTCATGTACAGTTTTATATATATATATATATTTTTTTTTCAGAGAGGAAAAGGTGAGAGAGATAGAAACATCAATAATGAGAGAGAATCATCGATCTCTTGCATCCTCCCCCCACCCCACTGGGGATAGAGCCAGAAACCCAGGCATGTACCTTGACCAGAATCGAACCCAGGATCCTTCAGTCCACAGGCCAATGTTTTATCCACTGAGCCAAACCAGCTAGAGCCCAATTTAGTTTAATTTTTTGTTGTTGTTAATCTTTACCAGAGGATAGCTTTTACATTGATTTTTAGAGAGAGTGGAAGGGAGGGGAAGAGACAGAGATAAACTTCGATATGAGAGAAATACACCAATTGGTTGCCTCCTGTATGTGCCCCAACCAGGGCACATGCTCTTGACTGGAATTGAACCTGGGACCTTTCAGTCCACAGACCGATGCTCTGTCCACTGAGCCAAACTCTCCAGGGCTTTTAAACGACTTTTAATTGATTTTTTTTTTTAGAGAGAGAGAGGAAGAAAGAGATAGAAACACTGATGTGAGAGTAAAACATTGATTGGTTGCCTCTTGCACATACCCTACTGGGGATTGAGCCTGAAATCTGGGCGTATGTCCTGACTTGGAATCCAAACAGACAACTTTTTAGTGCACAGGATGATGCCCCACCAACTTAGCTAAACTTGCTAAGGCTGATTTAACATTTTAAAAGCACTCAGCACTGGTCTTTGTTGATTGAGTTTTCTTCCTCTGGGCACCACCAGACCCTCTAAATTATCCCTTATACATTCCCATGTGATAGTGAGTATGAGCATGTATAAGTGGAGAGTCCCATGTATAAGGAGTGATATTATCCCTTCTTCCCTCCTTCCCCATATTTTAAGATGCAAAGTAGCCAGCCACTTGATAGTTCTTACTCCCAAGGTCTAGTTTTCTCCATTTTAAAAGGGTGAAATTGTGCATATCTTGTGGAGTAACAATACATAAAATGTAGTGAATCTGGTATAAATGTAAATTGTACCTACTGCAAGCCATGTATGGTAGAGACCAAGATAAATACTAAGAGTTACTTAAATATTTGTGTTATCAGGAAAGAGAAAAAAGTGACAAAGAAAGCATTTGAAGGCCAAGAAATGTTCTCAAAATTTGACCATGGACAGCAACAAAAGGAAATAAAAAAGAAGGAAGGACTTCAAGATCAGGAAAACCAGCGAGAGTTATTACAGGTTTGCTGAGTCTGCACTTTATCAGGGAATGAGAATAGATTATAAAATTCAGTTGAAACCCAAAGCAAAAACCTGCTTCTCCAAAGAAGCCACCTTCTCTGGATGCATTTTTACATTACAGTCTAGTTAACATTTCATATTGTTACAAGTCATTCTCAGCCACCTTTGGCAAAATGCAAGAATGTTTACCAAAGGAAACAAAAGAAGAGAGTTGCAAATTATAGAGGAACAGCTCTTTGGTTTGTCTACATAAACAATATAGCAGCTTGGTTTCAGGAATTCAAGCCACTCACACAGGTTAAACGTCCTATGTGAATATTCCCAATCCTGCATTCTGTGGTGACACACACAACTGCACTCCACATCCTCCCAACAGATAAGATAAAAATTACGAATACCTCTAAAAATTTAAAGTCATCAAATTTATCAATAAGAATGTCTCACCCATGTAAATTCAAATTACCAGGTAAATAATTCCCCAAACTCAACTCATTTTCAATAACCTAGTTTACATTCCACTTTTAGTGTTATCATTCATCAAAATCAGTTTGATGTCACATAAATGATTATATGCATTTGCATTTCTGGAAAAGGCAGCTTTAAGAATCCTCCTGATGCTTTTGAGAAATATAAGACATGATTCCTGTTGCTATGTTAATATTAATAGCTACACAGTTACATACTTTGAAACTATAGTGGATTGAGAACCACTATTAATGATAGTCCTGAGGTCCTGAGGGGAGTAACACATGTCTTCTAAATCCTCAAGATAATAGCTTAGTTTTGTACATTTTAGCTAATGTTTTAAAAATGGCCATTCCATACATATTATAGGTACTCTCAATCAAAAGGTGACGTTATTTTAGCTGGATAACATTTAACTTTTTAAACTAGTGTTGCCTGATGTGATTTACATATATTAACATGAAACATTTTTATATAAATTTCCTAGAAAGGGGACGCCAAAATAAAAGCTAAGGAGGAAGCCGACAAATGCAAGAAGGAGCAGGAAAAAATTATGTTACAGAATTTACAAGAAAGATTAGAAAGAAAAAAGGTAATATCTCTCTCTCTCTCTCTCTCTCTCTCTCTCTCTCTCTCTCTCTGTGTGTGTGTGTGTGTGTGTGTGTGTGTGTGTGTTGGGGGTTTGATTCTTTGTTTAAGACAATGTTGGACACATGATATGAAAGTCACAAATTAGTGACAATGGTTGTTTTTCCATTCTCCTCTTTTCTTCCTTAGCCAAGGATCTGACCTCTCCTGCCTAGAAGGGTCTCTTTTGATTGACCGTACCTATCCCTCATTGACTAGTGGTGGCCATTACAGCAAAGCTCTTTTGAACAGAATTAGTCAAGTCATGGTAGGGGTTGGTGGAAATAAGGTTTTCTTCTAACCTGGGCTAGAAAGTGCAGATGTCTGAGAGGCCAAGGTGCAGGCTTTTTGTATAGTAGGAGCTCACTTTGTGTAACTCATGTGCCTCATCTGAGAGCAAGGAAGGGCTCCAGTCCTGGCTGAGGTGCTACAAGGCCTCTGTCAGATCCATCCCCTTGAGGAGGCCAAAGAGCTGCATCTCTCCTCACTTACAGGGAAAGAAGTGTACCTTGGGTAAAGAATTCTTGCTCTCCTACGTGTGTTCTCTTTCTAGTAACAAAAGCTCCGACAGTGTCTCATCATTGGGGTACATTCTTGTCATTAACTTCGGCCTCATTCATGGTCTGTTCAGACTACAATTGTGTTTACCGGTAAAAGTTCTAATTGGTTTGCAGTGGTATGTGCTTAGTTCAAGTAATGCATTTCAAAGTCTGCACAATTAGGAGTGAGGAATCATTTGGATTTCTGTGTTACCAAAACAAGTACAGTTAGCACCACTCAAAGGCGACTGAGACCAGGACTGGAGGAAGGAATAAACTCCCACCCAATGTCTTGTGTCAGTTAAGTGTGTGGCTTTGGAGCAGTCACTGATATTATCCACTTCTGGAAAATGGGAGTAATCACCACTCTTTTGCATTTAATTTGTTTTCATGTTTGAAATTTTATTTTCCTTTAAATAGAGAATTGAGGAAATTATGAAGCGGACAAGAAAGACCAATTTGGACACCTCAAAGGTAGTCTTTGTGCTCCTACTGGCAGTATATACAAATTCCTGTTGCTTCACATTCTTTTTTTAAAATGTTTTTTTATTGATTTATGAGAGAGGAAGGGAGATGGAGAGAGATAGAAACATCAGTGATGAGAAAGAATCATTGATCATCTCTGCAGGAAATAAAGTATCACATTGCATTTTCCTTGATAATAAAAAGGTTTAGCATATTTCTTAGGTCTTTCATGTTTTTTTTTTCCTGTGTGAAAATGCTCATTTAGGTCTGTTGCTCAGATCTTTGGGGCTAATTTATCTTTTTCTTATTAATTTATAGTTCTGTAAATGTTCTAGATTCTACTTCTTTCTTGGCTGTATGTATTACAGATAACTTCTCCCACTTTATGACTGTCTTTTGTTAATGTTGTCCTCATTTTTACATTGTTAAATTTATCAATATTTTTATGACTAATGCATTTAATATACTTACTGGCCATTTGGATATTTGGTTTTCTGAAGTGCCTTTTTATTTTTTATTGATATTTCTAGAGAGAGATTGATGTGAGAGATAAACATTGATCCGCTGCTCCCTGTACCTGTCCCAATCTCCTGTGATTATTTGATGTATCAGATGATGCTCCAACCATCTGAGCCACATTAGCCAGAGCAAGAAGTGCCTTTTCAAGTCCTTTGCCTATGTTTTTATTGGATTGCCTGCCTTTTGATTGTAGGAATTTTTACCGACTTTGGTTATGAGCCTTTTGAATATATGTATTGCAAATATCAGCCCCAATGGTATAGTTTGCTTTCCACTCTCATAATATCCTGTGATGAACAGAAGTTCATTTGAATGAACTCAAATTTACCAGTTTCTTCATGTATGGTTACTGCTTTGGGGGTCTGTCTCATAAGTATTTGCCTACCTCAGAGTCCTGTCTTTTGATTGATCACATGCATGCAAGGCCTTTTTCCTCCAGATTCTATAATATGCTGTTTATCCTCTGTGCTATAAAAGCAATGTTTTGTCTGTTTACAGTTGACCAGTTGATATAATTATGAACATTTAGAATAGAAATATTATTTTCAAAAAATTCTGGGGGTCACTATCTGAAAGATCATTTAGTCCATTGGTCTGAGAAATTTGCCTCTAGCACCAGCCAAGAACTTTTTGAGCTCCTCATCTGTTTCCCCCACCTTGGCTTAGTTTAGACTCGGAGCAGGAAGAGACCGCATGCTAACCCAAAGCTCTTGTTCGTTGATTCCCACTCAGGGAAGTCTTTCATTCTTGAGTGTCCTCCCCTAACTTAAAGACAAAACTAGGGCCATCTGTCCTATTTCCTGTAGATTCTTGGAACCATAGAGTTAAGATTTTTAAAATCTTACTTTGAAATGATGAAAATTAGCCATCATTCCTGCCTTGAAACCTGTCTTCTTTGAAGTAATTATGTCAGGATGATTGAATATTTAGATATAACCATAAGTTTCATTTTTCATCATAGGATTTACAAACATCCAGCAGTGACACATACGAGGATCATGAGGCAGATGATGAGGATGAGCCCGAAAGTGATGATGCAAATTCTCCTGATGACTTGCATCCATTAGGTTTGGTTGCTTTTGAGTTGTTATTTTTTAAGTATTTTTATTGATTTCAGAGAAAAAGGGAGGAAAGAGAGAAACATCAAAGATGTTTCTTGCACATGCTCACACTGGGGATTGAGCCCACAACCCAGGCATGTGCCCTGACCAGGGATCAAACTGTGACCATAAGTTGACCATCAACCACTAAGCCTAAGCCACAATGGTTAGGCAGTTGTTTATATATATGTTTTTATTGATGAGAGAGAGAGAGAGAGAGAGAGAGAGAGAGAGAGAGAGAGAGAGAGAGAGAGAGAGAGAGAGAGAAACATTGATGAGAGAGAAACATCAATTGGCTGCATCCTGCACACCCCCTGCTAGGGATTGAGCCCACAACCCGGGCATAACCTCCTTGTTCATGGGTGGTCACTCAGCTACTGAGCTACACCGCTGGGCACCTTTTGAGTTTTGTTAGTCACTATTTAAGAGGTAGACTGCATAGGTCTATCCAGGTACTCCTCTGCTTCTGAGCTGTGTGGCTAAGGGCAAGTTACTTAACCTCTCTGTATGCTCAGTTTTCCTGTCTGAAAAAGAGAAGCTATTGTCCTTCTAGGGTGGGTATGAGATGACAATGAGATAATCTGTGTAATGCTAAGAGAATAATGCCTGACACATAGTAAACTCTCAATAAATATTAACTGTTGCTGTAGCAGCTGTTGTTATTTTACAGGTTTTGCTAAAAGACTGTAGATGGCAGCTCTTTTTCAGCTGAACATGAGGCTTACTAACATTTCATAACTCAGGGCCTCCTCTGGCATCTGTGATTGACCTCAGGTGGAATACTACTTCTAATTCATTGAGAAAAATTAAAATCATGTCATGATTATGAGTGCCTTCTAAAATGTATTATTGGTTCCCTTATGAGTAGGAACCATTTTATGGCAACAGTAAATGGCATCTGAAAAAACACTTTGTCCACCCTTTATCCCAGAAGTCAGGCCTACTAGGTACAGGGATACAGAGATGAAGAGCAGGGCCCTTAGCCTTGAGGAACCATAACCAATGGGGAGGTAGACATATGAGCAAATAATGATTCCACCACAAGCTGGTTGCATTAAAAGAAGTTTGGCAAAATGCAATGAGAACACAGCAGTAGGAGCAAGGTAGGTATAGGGTCTGCCTTAGGGCACTGGAAAGGGTAGGAGGTGGCATTGGAAGTGAGACTGAAATAAGAGGTGGAGGCAAAATTGAGTAGGTGGGTAATCAGGAGGAGAGGTAAGAAGCATGGCTCAGTCCTATTCTCTGGCCTGGCATTATTTCCTGCCAAAGGATAAAGAGCAAGTTCCTTAAAGGTGGCCTCGTTATGCTCTAAAGAAAGTTGGGGCGGTGTGCTGGGCAGCAGCCTAGACCATGTTTGAGAAAAGTAGAGTTGTTTGGTGGTTGCTGGGCCTGCTTCTCCAGCGTACTCCCATGATTTTCCCTGCCATCAGATAGATGGTCCCTCCCTCAGCCCATCAACATCACAGCCTTTGTTCTTCTTGTCTTTGTTGTTGAAGCTCCGGTTTTAATCTTAATCCTTTTTTTTCTAGCCTTTACAAATGGCATGAATTCATCCAGAAAACTCAAGAAAAGTTTTAGAAATGTGAAGAGCGCCCCCAGGCTGCAGTCTTTAGAAGTCAATTCTGACAAAGTCTATACAAAGACAAGATCATCTTTAAAAAGTGACATAAAAAACGTCAGACAAAAAGTGAAAGACCCTTTGGCTCAGGCCAAGGGTATCAGGTTAGTCACTTGGCGAGCTTTTCAGAATAAACTTGGTGTTATTATGAGTGGCATTCTTAGAATGATACATGAGATTATTGACTGAGCTCTTAACTTGTACCAAACACTATTTTAAGCACTTGTTTTACAGAAACAAACTAATTCACAGTAGTCTTGTTAGGTAGTGTTAGCGTTCCAATCTTTACAAATCAGGAAAATTAGTCATGGAGAGATTATGGGTCTTATTTGCCCATAATTAGAATATCCCACTGTTACAGGGCAGAGCCCAAATTCACACCCAGATACATCTGACTCCAAACTGTGTTTTTGTTCATACTGGTTAATGTTGTCTCATAAAATCAGGGAAGGGGTCATTGATTGAGTGGCTGCTGTACGCCAGTTATTTTACATAACCTGTTTTAATTATCACTGCACTTCTGAGTTTGATATTAATGACCTCATTTTACATATAGGGAAACTGAGGGTCACAGATTAGGTCAGAGTCTAGAAAGGAAGCATCTTTGGGCTATTACTTGAAAGACATTAACCTACAAGACCCATGGAAACACTGCTAAGAGACACAGTGATGGTTTGGAAAGAGCACTGGAGCTAGAAAATCCACGTTAGTCCTTACTTAACCTTACTAGCCATGTCATGGATCAGCTTTAAGTAAGGACAGGGTTCCTGTAGCCTTCACATTTAACTGCTCCCAGTCCATTAGCATGCCCATGGAACCTAGGACTTTGTAGGACACAGCTTGAGAAACCAGTGTGTTCTGAGATATCCAGGGCCCCTACCAACCTTCCCATTTTTTTCATTCTGAAAGTTCACTTACTTCCAAGGCATTTCTTAAAAGTTTGTTAAAATATAAACCTGCTTTCAGGATGAAGCTCTAGCTTGGAGGATAATCAAGATTCTAACCAAAACATCTCTTTCCAGGATGTCTATCCAAAGAATGACCAACCAAGTAACAAAAACCGAAAAGATAGTCGAAACCAGCAACCCCATGGTACCATCAGAAAGTTTACATCCAGTGTCACAGGAATGTGTGTGTGACCAGATACTAGATAGCACTCACAAGATTGATCCACTCATTTCTAGTAACCTTCCTGATAGCCAAAAACACCATCCGAAAGGTTCCACAACATTCTACCAAAGTCCCCAGACAAAAATAGAAAAATCTGATTCTGCTTGATCAGGTAAGGTTTTTATTTTTAATCTGATCTTCATTTTGTTTCCAAAACCACTGACCTTGAAAAATCCTGCTTCTTGCTGTTCCAGGGCCACTTTAGGAGGTGAGGGAGAAGACAGGGTGGGTCTAAAAGCTACACTGATGCTGAAGACTCTTCCATTGAATTAGTTTTTAGAGTAAATTCAGTAACTTGATTCTAGTTTAACGCCCTGCATTTCCTGCCAGATAATACAAAGTAGGTTCTTTTCTGTAAAGCACTGGCTGCTTTACAGCACACAGATGATCATTTAGGGCAGAATGTTTGTGAGGTCTATGGAATTTGCCTCTCAACCGGTGTTTCCAAAACCAAAAAATATTTGTTTTTGCTTTTCTTTCTATTCTTTTTTTTTTAAACCAACAGTTGGTTCTTTTTATTTTTTATTTTTTAATATATATATTATTGAGTTTTTACAGAGAGGAAGAGAGAGGGATAGAGAATTAGAAGCATCAATGAGAGAGAATCATCCATCAGCTGCCTCTTGCACACCCCCTACTGGGGATGTGCCCGCAACCAAGGTACATGCCCTTGACCGGAATCGAACCTGGGACCTTGCCTCAGTCCACAGGCAAGGCCTTTGTTTTTCTTTCCTTGAGAAGCTCTCTTTGAAGTTGAGAGGCAGCATGGGCTTGTTTCGGTGTTATGGATGCTGAGAGCATTTATAAAAGTACCAGTATGTCAGCAACTCCAAGGGGGCTGCTGAGGGTACCGGACCCATCCTAAAGGAAGGAAGGCCAGGGCCCAGTTGCTGTGAGACTAGCATCTTCTTTACTAATCCTCTTTTCTTTTTCCTCTGGTCAGACATGTAAACCTCGTGCAGCCTAGAAGAGAATTTATCCTCCACTCTGGGTTTCAACTTCTAGGCCAATCTCCCAAAATTGCTCCACCTCCGACTTGAACCAAGCAAAGAAAATAACAATCTAAAAAAAGGAAAAACATAAAAAAGTCATCTTAACACGTTTCAGAAGATGCTTGCTCACTCGTGTCATCTTGAAGTCCACAAGGAAGGGTTTTTAATAAAAAGTTGTGTTCCCGTAAAAATCTCCATTGTATCTCATTGTGTTTTCCTACCAACACGCATTTGAGTGTGCATTGAGGCTGTGTTTATAAACTTGTAACTCTTGTACTTCTAAAATAATTTCTACTGAAAGAATAATATTCTCTCAGTACATGTTTGAAATCTTAAAATAATGTTTGTTCTGTTTAACAATTAAGAAATCCCGTTTGATCTTGTAGAGAACATAATAGGTTATGTGAAGGACTCAAGATTGCCCCTCAAGTGCTATGTTGGATTATTTCTAATATACCAATACCAAAGGTTGGAAAATAGAGTAAAGTATATGTTACCATTATATATGCCTATGTTTAATCATGCCAGCTGAATACACAAGCAGTGATGCCCCCAAATGCTAGGAGTCCTAGAAGAACATTAGGATATTTTGTGCTCTTAGCAGTATTTCCTTTTAGAGTACATACTAAGCTTTATCTACAAAAACGTGTTGTTTTTATTGTATACATAAAGCAGTATTTGGCTGTTGTCTGGTGGGGAATATTTAATTCCTCTAAATGTTTACTGTGTATATAATCTTTTTCTGTTTACACCCTCCAGTCCTGCCCTTCAGTATATACCCAGGCTTGGGATATGGAACCAAAATCTCCTTGCCTTTCTCTAACCAGTGGCTGCAAATGAGTTCGGGAACAGTGTTATTCTTTAGTCCGTGTGATAGATAGGCACACATGCATGCACACACACACAAGATGTATATTTGCTGAAATGCATTGAGTCCTGATTAAAAGAATTTACTAATACTTGCCCTGGCTGGTTGCTCAGTGGTTAGGGCTTCAGCCCAAGCACCAGAGGGGTCGCAGATTTGATTCCGGGTCAAGGGCATGTATCGATACCTGGGTTGCAGGTTCGCACCCCGTCCCTGGTTGGGTCACCTGCAGGAGGCAACCAGTCAATGTATCTCTCTCACATCAATGTTTCTTAATCTCTCCCTTTCTCTTTTAAGCAATGGAAAAAATATCTTCAGGTGAGGATTAAAAAAGAAACAACAAAAAACTATTGACTAAAACTTGAATGGAATTTTATTGTCCTAATGCTAGTGAGTTTTCTGGCGAATCACAAAGTTTGAAACATGTCCATGTTTCTTTCTAGTCACCAGTCTTGTAGTAGTAAAAGGAAGTAATTATTCTTTCTTGTTTCTTAGTTCTTTGCTATTCAGAGTACTATACCTTTTGTTACAGATTAAAGCTTGATGCCTTAGATTTTAAAACTATTTTCAAATGCTAGTTCTTTTGTATAGGAGGCAGACAATCATCCTAAGAATATTTCTGATATTTTTCCGCACGAATGTTACATATTGAAACACATTGTTGTATCTTCATATAAATGTGTGCTCTGTGAAATAAACTTTGCAGATAAAGCCAAGTTCTCTTTTCATTATTAATAACACAAAACGTACTAGTGGAAGTATAGAGGTGACGTGACACCAGTTGTTAACCAAGCCATGACCACAGGCAACCAGTAAGTTCAGTAAGCAAATTCCCTGATGCTTTTCTCCAGCTAATCAGATTTGGCAGAGTTCCCCCTGTGGGACATTAAGATGTGAATTTCAAAACCCTGGTCTTCCTGCACCTATTCCAATGCTTGTTACTCTTTCTTGTGTTACTCTTCCCGGTGATGGTCTGACTTATACTTGAAGCCAGTGATTAAAGTACCTTTCTTTTTACTGGTGAAATTCACTTAAGTCACTATTTATAATGGCAGTTAATACTTTCAGTGTTGTGCAGCCATCACCGCCATCTAGTTCCAGAACATTTTTATCACCCTACAAAGAAACCCTGGACACTTTATACAGTCATTTCTCATTCCTCCTCTCTTGGCCCTTATAAAGCTCATCTTTAATACTTGCCATGGCCAATACCGGTTTGGCTCGGTGGATAGAATATCAGCCTGCAGACTGAAGGGTCCCGGGTTCGATTCCAGTCAAGGGCATGTATCTTGGTTGTGGGCACATCCCCGGTGGGGGTAGTGCAAGAGGCAGCTGATCGATGATTCTCTTTCATCAATGTTTCTAACTCTTTATCCCTCTCTCTTCCTTTCTGTAAAAATCAATAAAATATATTTAAAAAATACTTGCCATGGATGAGGAAAACACACTTGATTTTTAAATCTGAGTGTGTTCAGGCAGTGATTATACTGTTATATACTCATATCTCCATGACATCATTTACTATGTGTGGTGAGACCAGTGTTCTGATCTGCCTATAAAGGTTGTTTTCAATCTTGAAACATGTTCCACTCCACTAGTTATTGTATTTATAATGTAAGGTCCTGGTGCTTATGAGAATGATAGCAGTTATTCTCTACTTGGCATTCCATTCTGTTGGTCTTTCTGTTGGAGCTGTTGAACTAGGATATCTCCTGGTGTGCTCACAACTTGAAATGCAATCAAAGCACCTTGTTTATAGCTGTGAAGTGATGGACATGATCTAGATTTCCCCTGCCTGCCGTGGGCTGGTGCACTTGAACCTGTTAGGGGACACATTGGTTGCCTCCAGTTTCCCTTCCTCTCTGGATATTTTCTTGGTGTCCTCTCCCCTGTGGATTCTGAGGATAAGCACATTTCTTCCACTTATGTCATGAACACTGGGAAGCCTTTTAAAGGCTCCCTCTAATCCCTGACAACCACAGAGTGTGGTATGGAATGATGTAAGGAACACTAGAATAGGATCTGAAGACCTGAATCTTAGCCAAGGTGCTTGTGTGTGCATAAGTTATGGCCATGTGATTGTGTACATTATGGCCCTTCTGAGCCCTTTTAACAGGCATGGGAGAGGGGCTGCAGTACAATATCTGTAGACGCTTTCATTCTCATACTGAGGATTCACTCATTTTGGCAAGAGCTGGAGGTTTGGGACTAATAAAACAGTAGCAATTGTCAAGAAGCAAAAGCCTGGAGGCATACTGTCACGTTTTATCAGGTCAATTCCCTGTGTAACTTTCATTGCCCTCCCCCCCTTCCCTAGGTCTGGTTTGTTGAAGCAGGGTCCAGAAAGGTTATTTTGTCCTTGGTCTCCCCACCAATCCAATTCCAGTGCCTGATAATTTCCCCAACTATCTCTATATAAAAGGCTAACTGACCATAGCATTTGAAACAACAGAACAGATGACTGAACAGGCTATTGGGTCAACCAGGCTGGCAGCGGCATTAATGAGGGGCAACCAAACGACTGAGCAGTAGGCTGCATGAGGCGACCGGATTAGCAGAGGGGGGCTGTGAGGGGCAACCAGGTTGGCAGGGGAGGGGGAAGTTGGGGGTAACCAGGCAGGCAAGTGAGCAGTTAGGAGCCAGTGGTGGGATGTCCTGGATTAGAAAGGGTGCAGGCTGGACTGAGGGGGACCCCCCCCCCCGTGCATGAATTTTGTTCACGGGGCCTCTAGTAATAATAAAAGTATAATATATTAATTAAATCAGATGACCTACTGGACAAAGGTGGGGCTGTGAGAGTCCCAAGTGCCAGAGGGAAGCCAGTGCCGGCAGCCGAGAGAAGGAAGGCCTACTCTTGCACAAATTTCATGCATTAGGCCTCTAGTGTTATAATAATTGTAAAGTTTGCACATCCTATATGTCAGGTACTTTATAGGCATCACTTCAAACCTTTACAAGGTGTGGTTACTCATTTTTACCGAGAATGACACTGAGGTTTGTGGAGATTGGTAATCACTCAGCCAGACAATCCTAAATCTGTCTGATTATAAAGCCAACACCCATATTCTTGGGGAGTGACAACAGTGTCCTGTGGCTTGCATGGTAGTTGATATACTATCTCCGGTGTTGGAGATAAAATACATGCTTAAAGTTTATTGAATGCTTTTTACTGATTATCAGTCAACCTGCTGAGCATTTGCATTAGAAATCAGCATGTAATTCTGCAAGGTAGGGATTCTAAGTCTCATTTA